ACAAATAGCCCTTGTGTAGCTTTGTGCATAATTAAAAACAAACAAACAAATAAACTTATATATTCAGTAATGAAGTCGATATAATGTGTGTTTGGTAAAATATTAGTATATTGTGTTTTAAAAATATTCTTATAGTGTGTACTGAAGTCGGTATGAGCTGTTTTTGGAAAAATATTAATTTAATGGATACTGAACTCGGTATCAGCTGTATTAGGGGAAATTTTAATATAGTGCGTAATGAAGACAGTATATGGTGTGTTTATTAAAATATTAATATATTGTGTACTGAATTCAGTATGAGGTGTGTTTGGTAGAATGTTAACGTAGAATGTACTGAAGTCGGTATAAGGTGTGTTTGTTAAAATAATATTGTGGTTTGTACTGAAGTCGGTATAAGGTGTATTTGTTAAAATAATATTGTAGTTTGTACTGAATTCGGTATAAGGTGTATTTGCTAGAATACTAATGTAATATGTACTGAAGCCGGTATAACATGCGTTTCTTATACTATTAATATTAGGTGTGTTTGGTAAAATATTAATATAGTGTGTTCTGAAGACGATATTTGGAATCTTTGTTAAGATACCAATATAGCGTGCACTGAAATCTGTATGAGTTCTATTGGTTATACATTAACATAGTGGGTTCTCAAGACGGTAGATTGTGTGTTTGGTAGAATATTAATATAGTGTATAGTGAAGTCGGTATAAGGTGTGTTTGTTAAAATATTAATATAGTGTGTAATGGAGTCAGTATAAGGTGTGTTTTGTAAAATATTAATATAATGCGTACTCAAGTCGATATCAACTGTGTTTGGCAAAATATTATTATAGTGTCAAGTGTAGTCGGTAAAACGTATGTTTAGTGAAATATTGTATTTACTGAAGTCGGCATCACCTGTGATTGGTAAAATATTAATACAATGTGTAGTGAAGTCGGCATAAGGTGAGTCTGGTAAAATATTAATATAGTATGTACTGGAGTCGGTATCAACTGTATTTGGTGAAATGTTAGGTTTGACTTTCGCGCAATGCTACACGAGGACTATCTCTAATCAATGAAAGGCATGAAGGAATGCAGCTAGTCATCACCACCCACCGCCAAATCTTTCGCTACTCTTTTACCAAAGAGTTGTGGGATTGACTGTCACATTATAATCTCCCCCGTGGCTGAAAGGGTGAGCATGTTTGGTGGGACGAAGATTACGAGGCAAACGCCCTAACCTTCTGGCCATGCCGGGCCTATTTGGTAAAATATTAATATAGTGTGTACTGAAATTGGTATAAGGTGTACTTGTTAAAATAATATTATAGTGTATACTGAATATGATATCAGCTGTATTTGGTAAAATATTAATATAGTGTGAACTGAAGACGGAACTTTTTGTGTTTTGTAAAATATTAATATAGTGTGAACTGAAGACGGAACTTTTTGTGTTTTGTAAAATATTAATATAGTGTGAACTGAAGACGGAACTTTTTGTGTTTTGTAAAATATTAATATAGTGTGAACTAAAGACGGCTACTTTTTTGTTTTGTAAAATATTAATATAGTGGGTACTGAAGACACTACAAACTGTGTTTGGTAAAATATTTTATTGACGTTTTTATTAGATGTGTTAGGTAAAATATTAATGTAGTGAATTAGATATAATGTATGTTTAATAAAATTATAATATTGTGGTTAGTGAAATCGGTATAAAGGGTGTTTGGTAAAATATCATATGTACTGAAGACGTTATATGGTGTGTTTGGTAAAATATTAGTGTATTGTGTACTGATCTCGATATATGGTGAGTTTGGCAAAATATTAATACTGTGTTTACTGAAGTCGGTATAAATTGTGTTTGATAAAATATTAGTATAGTGTTTCCTCAAGTCGGTATCATATGTGTTTGGTAAAATATTTATATAGTGTGAACTGAAGCTGGTATAAGATATATTTCTTAAAGTATTAATATAATGTATACTGAAGATGTTATCAACTGTTTTTGGAAAGATATTAATATAGTGTGCACTGAAGATAGTATGCAGTGTGTTTGGTAAAATATCAAATATTGTTTACTGAAATCGTTACAAATAGTATTTCGTAAAATATTAATACAGTGTGTAGTCAGGTCGGAATAAGGTGTGTTTCGTAAAATATTAATACAGTGTTTAATGAAAACGGTATGAGATGTGTTTGGAAAAATATTAATATAGAATGTCGGTATCAGCTGTGTTTCGTAAACAATTAATGTATTGTGTACTGAAGTCGGTGTATACTGAAGTCCATATCAGTTGTGTTTGATAAAAATGTTAATATAGTGTTTACTGAAGTCGGTATAAGGAAAATTTGGTAAAATATTAATATAGTGTATATATAGAAGACGATATCAGTAGTATTTTGTAAAATATTAATAAATTGTGTACTGAAGTCGATATCAAGTATCGTTGGCAAAACATTCATTTATTGTGTACTGAAATCTGTACAAGGTGTGTTTGGGAAAATATTAATATAGTGTACTGAAGTCGGTATAACATGTGTTTGGTAAAATTTTAATATAATGTGTTCTGAAGTCAATATCAGCTATATTTGTGTCTACTGAAGTCTGTATATAGTGTGTACTGAAATCTGTACAAGGTGTGTTTGGGAAAATATTAATATAGTTTGTACTGAAGTCGGTATAACATGTGTTTGGTAAAATTTTAATATAATGTGTTCTGAAGTCAATATCAGCTATATTTGTGTCTACTGAAGTCTGTATATAGTGTATACTGATGCCTGTATTAGGTGTGTTTGGTAAAATACATATATATAGTGTGTACTGATTTCGGTAACAACTGTGTTTGGTTGATTATTTATATAGTGTGTACTGAATTCAGTATATGGTGTGTTTGGTAAAATATTAATATTTTATACTAAAGTCGGTATAAGGTGTGAATAATATAGTGTGTACTGATGTCGGTAAAGAATGTGTTTGGTAAAATATCAATGTAATGTGTAGTGAACTCAGTATCATCTGTGTTTGGTAAAATATTAACATGTTGTATACTGTTTCCGATATCAGGGGGCCCGGCATGGCCAGGTGGTTAGGGCGCTCGACTCGCCACCTGAGGGTCGCGGTTTTGAATCCCCGTCACACACACATGCTCGCCCTTTCAGCCGTGGGGAAGTGATAATATTATAGTCAATCCCACTGTTCGTTGGTGAAAGAGTAGCCCAAGAGCTGCATCCCCTCTAATCTTACACTGTTAAATTAGGGACGGCTAGCGCAGATAACCCTCGTGTAGCTTTGCGCGAAATTCAAAACAAACAAATAAACCTATATCAGGGGTGATTTGTAAAATATTAATATACTGTATACTGAAGTCGGTATAAGGTGTGTTTGTTAAAATATTGATATTTTGTGTACTGTAATCGATATCAGTTGTCTTTGGTAACATATTATATTAATGTGTACTGAACTCGATATCATCTGTGTTTGATAAAATATTAATATACTTTGTGCTATTTATTTGTTTGTAATTAAGCACAAAGCTACCCAGTGGGCTATCTGTGCTCTGCCCATCACGGGTATCGAAACCCGATGTCTAACGTTGTAAGTCCGCAGATATATTACTGTGCCACTGGAGGGCTAGTGTTTACTGAATTCGGCATCAGCTGTATTTGGTAAAATATTGAAATATTGTGTACTGAAATTAGTATGTCTTGAAACCATCTCTTGGAAGAACGTGTTATACTAGAGACTCGTACAAATTTTAAAACGACTCCTGGTAAGAACGTATTGTACTAAAAAGTTATACACGACTTGATACGATTTCTCGGAATAACTTATTATACAAGGGATTCATACACGTCATGAATCCACCTCTTGGAAGAACGTGTTATACTAGAGACTCGTACAAATTTTAAAACGACTCCTGGTAAGAACGTATTAAAGTAAAAAGTTATATACGACTTGATACGATTTCTCGGAATAACTTATTATACAAGGGACTCATACACGTCATGAATCCACTCCTGGGAAGAACGTGTTATACTAGGGACTGATTCGTGTCATGAAACAGCTATTGGGAAGAAAGTGTTATTCTATGGATTCATACACGTCTTGAAATATTTCCTGAAAAAGTTACACAAATATGTACAATATAAAACTTGAATCTCTTTCTGAGAAAGAAAAAGAAGCATAAAACAAGTATTATGTTAGTGCTTACATATGGACTTGAAACTAACCAACATTTGACCAGACTGTATGTGAAGAATATGTAAAAGATAGTGATATAAAATTATTATTTAGTAGATACAGTTTCATGATAAAATGTTATAAATACATTACACCAAACGTTCTCACACTATAATATAGCAGTCTGAAGCTTAACAACATTCATTGTCCAATAAGGTGTGTAGATTTTCTCATACGGTTTTAACTCGTGTAGAACTTGTTGAGTGAGCTATCTAGTCTTCAATTCCTATAAAGTTTCCCATAGCAGCACTTACTACTGTATTTTTGTTTACAAAAAACAACTATATTTTAGTGTTAATTACAATACACACAACACAACAACAAGTAAGGCATTAAGTTTTCTAAATATTCATTTTAAGTGACAATAAAATTCTGGGCTCGTTTCCTTTCCGAACATATAGAATTAACTTAACTTATTATCTTTATACTTCTTTATAAAGAAAATTATACACATGCATATGTTTATTTATCACTTAGTTGCCAGTGCCGGAAAATTGCTACTCTCATAAACAGAAGACCGGAAGTGAAGTATACTTTCCTGGTGATTCGAAATTACCTGTGGAGAAAGATAACAAGTGTTACTTTGAGAAGAAAGAGTATGAGGATGGATATCAGTGGCTATCACCTCATGATGCCTGTGTCATGTGCTTCTGCAAAGTATAAATAATTAATCTAATTACTCTATTTTTTAAGTATCAATAATGATTATGTATAAGTTGATGTGAGTAATTATCGCGACAAAAGGATATTGCAACCTGAGCGATATAGAACTATTATGCAATATGCAAATTTTGCCAAAACCTGAGGGTTATATAACTCTTATTTAATATGTAAATTACGTCAACACCTGAGGATTACATAACTATTACATAATACGTATAAGCATCAGAGAGCAGTGATGCCCACGAAGTATCGCTAGAGGGTTTGTTGCTAGGAATGACGTCATACTTCCACGGAGTGGCGCCAGTGAGCACTGCTGTCTAGTGGTGAGGGTGACATCATATTTTGATACCAGAGGGCCTGTTACTTTAGGTGGACGGCGTTGCCAAGGTTGGGTAGGCGGATGGTGCTATTATGGTTATACAGATGGATTGTGTTACTAATGTTTCATAGGTGGATAGTTTTACTAGGTCATACTAAGGTTCTATAAGTAGTTGATCTTACTAAGCATACTGAGTGTGTTTTCCAAAGGTTGACAGTATTTATAGCTATAGGCGGACAATGTTACTATACTTCTGTGGAATTGCATACAAATTTCAACTTGTCTAAACTTATGTTACAGTTTTCGTTTATATATTTAAATGTATTACATGTGACTTACAAAGGCGGAGGATATATCTATAGGCAAACAGTGTTACTATAATTCCATAAGGCTGTTTACAGATTTTAACTCATCTCAGTTATGTTTATAATTTTCGTTTATATATTTAACTGTATCACGTGTGTTTTGCAAAGATGTGCGGTTTACTGGGTGGATTATGTTATCAAGGTTCTATAGGAGGATGGCAAATTGTGTTACTAAGGTTAGTGATACTAGGGCAGATGGTTTGTCTATAAATGGATAGTTGATGGTTCGATTTTTTTCTAGTTTATTTTGTTTCCAGTTGACAAGGTGTATTCTGCAATGGCTGAATTTTGTGTTTTCATGAGTCTTTTACTGTCTTTATGTTCTTTTATTCTTATTATTAAACACAAAATTCAGCCTCTACACTTGTGTTTCTACAACAGACATTTGCCATCTATTCAACTAAATTTCGTCACGAATACTCTGCCTAAACAATCTATCAAAGAAGTGTCTAAGCATGTCATCAACATTGCAGTGTAGATTAAATTATATGTCCTAAAAGGTTACAAGTGTAATAATTATTTTAACATGAAAACTATTATAGAATAATGTGTTACATGTGTCAGTTTCTATCACACTTTCTATCTTAATTTATCCGTTATTGGAAGGATTCAAATATTATGGCATAGCCAATAATTTTCTTTACATACTTTTGCAAGAGGATTTTATCATACCTAATGTTTCATTTTTATAAGTTTTGAACAAAACACTTAGTATAGCCGGTTATGTTTTATGATCTAGTACACACTTAATGTACTGATTACAGTTTTCATTTTTATATCTAATTTGCATCACATATGTTTTGTATTTCCTGATGTTTTATATGTAAAGTGCTTGTCACTAATTAATTTCTATAATTAATATATTGTGTAGCATATATTCACGCTGAAAGAACACTTATTTAAATCTCAAGTTTAACTTTATAAGCTAATATATTTATTGGTTTCACTTAAGTTATTAATCTTAGCTTCCTGTAGATATTTTCACAAATCTTTATCTAGGGCTTGTTTCTTGTAGATTTGGAACTTTATGCATATAGGCTCGATAAATAATGTTCTTACCATATCATCAAAAGAATGTTCAATACAGATAATTCACTTTTTCATTTCTATTGCTGACACATCCAAGCTGATGGTATGTTGAAGACATACTCACTAAGTTTTTGAATTTCACGACTGCTGACAGGCTCAGTAAACTTTTATTTTAGGAAATATAAGGGGCAGGAGAGATCATCACGTGGTCATACAACCAGTCCCCTCTTAAAACTGGCAGAATAGAAGGTTAATAGCATTGAAAGGTCTGAAATTTAAATATTTTGTAAAAGACAGACACATTCCATTTTGATAAAATACACTATTTCTTGTTTGTAATGATATGTATGGGCCTAATGATTAAAACGTGTATATTAAATATTTGTTGAAAACTCAGAAAATCTTCACTTCAACATTTAATCTTAATAGCTCACCAAAAAATCAAATACATTTTCCCCAAATGGACATAGTTTATAACCGAACAAGAGTTGACAATCATAATTTTAAAAGGACCTTTAATTATAAATCAAGTTTTTATTCTTTAACATTTTATAAATCCAAAACTATTTACTTTTTATCATTACAACAACAATGTGAAACCACAGACTTGACAAGCACAATGAAACAATTATTAACAAAACTTCAAGATACATTAACATATGTAAACATCTTAACTTATAAAATACTAAATTAGCTTTCATACAACGTTTGAATCTATGTTCCTATTACTATTTCAGTTAGAGTTTATATCTTTCATTTGTGTAGCATTTAACAACCAGCTTTTAATAATGGTCATTGGTCGCAGAAGTGTCTTACAGGCCAAAGTTGAAATGTCACTGGTAAGAATAGGGTATAACTCAAGATACGGCTCTTCATATCAGCCTTATGGTGGCTGTTGGAGTTGAAACTTCAACTGAGTTTATGTATTATTGCAAAAGTGGCGGTATTTTTTCTTTGCACTCCTCCATAGAGGGTAATAGCACACTTTCTGAAATATATAAAACGTTTGTTTACCCACCCCACACTTTGGGTTTCTTGAGTTATAGAAAATTTAATAAGTTTTAAGGATGTGGGACCATCTATCAATGTAGTGAACGTTAACTTGCGTCGTCAAACATAATAAATGCTCAATAACAGCAATAATGGTGTTCAGGGAGGGGTTGTTCACCTCTCATTACCCTTTTTCTTTGTTCCAAACTATCATCCCACAAGGTTTGATTGAGATTGGCCAAGCGATCTAGGAGTAGTTAGATAACGGACAAACAAACATACAGACATACATTCTACTTTGAAGCTGTTAAGAACAAAATATGTAAAAATTCTTTTCAAAATCTTTAAATTTTTTGCTTCCTACGATAAAATATATGGTCTACAAGCAGGGATGATTCTTTCACATTCTATAAATACATCACATTTGTTGTGGAATGTTGTAGGTGTAAAAATTATATTCTGATATTGAGAAATTGTAGACATTATAATATTTAGGTAAATTAGATAGTTATTGTAATAACAACAACATTATTAATATGACACATTGTCATTCATTTATATTTTATAAAATATCATAATATCTAGTTGGTTTAGTACTGAACGAAAAATGTGATGTGTTGACGTTTTTGACGAAGCTGAGTTAATACTGTCAGGCTCTTGGACGATGTAAATAACAAAGAATGTGTTGAATACTTTGATATTACATCACTCTATCATTGGAACAGTGAATACCATAGTGGACGTTCTCAATACAGTCACATACTTGTAACTTCTGTGATCTCATGACAAAAGGCATGGTCTACAAGAAAATAAATATCTATCCTTTTACATGAAATCAGTTTGTAAAGAGCAATCTTACAAGTACACATAATATCCATGTCAACCTTTCACCACCATGATTAGATTTATCTTAACAGACTGATGATCAAAGACCATGCTTATTACAAATCAGTTAGTATTACTCCTATCATAAAACATAATAATATAGTTTCAGTTTTTACACCTTAAATGTCAACAAAATTGTTATAGAATTTAGGAAAAATAGTAAAGATCATTGTAGTAACAGAAATAAGATAAAGTCATAACACATTATCATACAATTCTCCCTTAATTTACAATCATATAAAACCATATATTAAGGAGCCAACAGTGTCTAGTTGGGGAATTAGAGTATGTTATCTATTCTTGAAGTAGTTTTGCAATCATTGATAAAATCGCCCTTTCTATGGTAAATGGGTGTACAAGATGGGACCTTTTGTCACTGCAGTGTATATTTTCATTGGTGATAAGAAAAAACACTTCAGGGACCTATGTTTGACAGAAGCCTCGAGGTCTCATGCCAAGAGCATCTGGGTATGTGGCCAAGGGTCCGTAAGATGTAGACAAGCACCCAGTTAGTTTGTGACATAATTTCCCTTGTTTAGTAAACAGAGTCACAAAAAAATTATGTTCAATCTATGCTAAATGTATGACGACTTTTTTGAATTACGGGAATACCAATAAGATTTATAATATTTCTTTACAAGTCTTTCTTTACTAACCCTTTACTGTGGGTTTCTAATGAGGAGAAACGTAACAGCATCTGGAATGTATACACTTTGCGACAAAAGCCACTGTTAACAAGACCTTTAACCCAGTACCAAATCTTACTTGGTTAGCTGGAAATGCAATACCTAAAGTTAAATACTTAATAAATGATGAAACATTGATGACTGATATAGTATTTTGACTGAGAAATTTTTACAGTCAAATCAATTGATTTGTTTCACTTTAAAGTTCAGCAAAACAAATCAACTTATAAAGCTAAACATGAAAATTAAAATATTTAGAGATTTAAATAAGCATCGTGAATAGATGTTATTCAGTATATTAATTATAGAAATGAATTATCAATAAGCATTTTACATATAAAATGTTAGGAAATACAAAACGTATGTCATGCAAATTAGATATAGAAGTGAAAACTGTTATCAGTATGTTAAGTGTGTACTAAATCATAAAATAAAACACAATCGGCTATACTTACTGTCTCATTAAATATGTGTAAAAAAGAAACATCAGGTATGATAAAATCCTTTCAGGACAGATAAATGTAAAAGTATGTAAAGTAAATTATTCGCTATGCTATAACATTTGCCATCTTCAAGTAATGAATAACTTAAGATAATATGTAATATAAACTGAGATATATAACACTATTCTATAATGTATCATTAAAATAATAGTTTTATTTGGAATTTTTAGGACATTAAATCTAGACTGCAATGTTGATGACGTGTTGAGACACCCTATGATGAGCTCATTGTCCTATTGAACATCTAATACAGTTTGATGTATACATGAAAACTATAAACATAAGTTAAGACGAATTGAAATATATATGAAATCCTACAGAAGTATAGTAACACTGTCCGACTATAGAAACATCCTCCACCCTTGCAAAACCCATGTAATGCAATCAAATATATAAATGAAAAATAAACATAAGTTGAGACAAGTTGAAATATGTATGCAATCCTATGGGAGTACAGTAACAGTGTTAGTGAAAAACCACAGTAAACTGAACAAACTGTCAGGATTATGATATTAGAGAAACTATGCCACCCGACAACGCTTGAACATGAAATGAAAAATATCTTTTCTATTTTCAAAGAACTACATTTTCCACAACATTTCATTACAAATTGTCATCTCAAAGCAAGAAAATCATTGTTCCACGAAGATAGAGAAAGATCAACCAATGATAATGTGAAATCACTCTATATTTGCTACAATACTAACATTGAATCCCTTGATAAAATATTAAGGAAGAATAACTTTAGAATCATATACAAATATCTGAACACCATTAAAAATAACCTAGCAGAAAAACACCTGAAGATAAAAAAACAAGGCGTTTATATTATACCTGCCAATCCCGTCAGAAAGGTTATGTAGATGAAACCGAGATTTTCTGAACATAAAAAAAAGACATAAAATATAGAAACCAAAACAATGCCATTTTTCTTCATATGAGATAGTCTGGCCATCAAATTGATCGGAAATCAACAAGAATTTTATACAAAACGGATAACTACATAAAAAGAAGAGTCGTTGAAAGTTGTTTAATCAAAAGCCTGCCTAATTTCAACACCTCTAAAAGTCACTTTAAACTTAACTTCCTGTGTCCTTAAAGGAATTCCAAGATCAGGAGTCACGTAGGCGTTTGTTGACCAGTTTTCCTGCCAGAAGACAACGTGAGACTGAAGAGGACGCACGAATGTGTCGAAACTAGTTTCTTTAATATCAGACTTCTGACAGTTTGTTCTCTTTTACTGTTGTTTTTCACTAATTGCTATACACGATATTGTGTTCTTTTATTATTATAGTAACACTGCCCACCTATATAAACACCATCCGCCATTGTAAAACACACACAATACAACTAGTAAGACCATCTGCCTATAGAACCTTAGTAACACAATCCATCTATAGAACCTTAGTAACACTGTCCACCTATAGAACCTTAATAACACTGTCCACCTATAAAACCCTCGTAACACTGTCCACTTATAGTAACAATCCCTCTGGGATCGAATTATAATGTCACCCCTCCCCTAAACTAGCAGCGCCCCCTGGTACCACTTCATGAAACTATGATATCACCCCTAGCAACGGGTCCTCTAGTGCTACCTCGTAGGCGTCATTGCCCTCTTGTTTCTATTATGTAACAGTTATATAACTCTGAGGTGTCAGCATAATTTGCATATTATGCAATAGTTGTATAATTCTCAGGTGTTGGCGTAATTTGCATATTACGTAGTAGTTATATGACCCTCAGGCGGTGATATTCGCTTGCTGCTGTATAGTTCTGATAACTACATTCTTCAACTTGCAATTTAAGGTATGGAGGATTGTGTTATGTATTATTTGAAATCCCCACGGTAAGAAACATAAATTACTGTGAAAACTTATGACGTATTGTTTTGAAACCATCACAGTAAAAGATATAAAGTACTGTGAAAATGTGTAACGTATTATTTGAAACTTTCATAGTAAGAGAAATTAAGTACTGTTTATTCTGTGCTATGGGAAGAATTTAAAACGTAATTTTAAAATACTAAACGAATTTCATAGTACAAACGGATTTGCACGAAATCAAACTTATGCGTTTAAGCTTTGTTACATTAAGTTGCATAATGCTTTTTATGAAACTTTTACTGAATGACACAACTATTTGCATTTTATCCGTAGTGTTGAGAAATATACCATTGGTGTATTCATTTCTATGTTCAAAATGTACTTTTCCATTAGAGAGGTCAATGAACCTTACTTAATGATATACTTTGGATAGTCTATTAGCTGCAAAATTAACCCTGGAACCCTTACTCAGAGTTTATTTTGTACAGATTTGAGAAATATATTTGTTTCTTTGTTTGTTTCATTTAAGCGAGGGAAGATCGAATGTGACAAAACAGTTTGTCCTCCTAGTGAATGCGAATCGCCAATTACCGTGGCTAAAGAATGTTGCCCCATGTGTCCAGGTACGTTTCCTTCATAAATTAGTATATGTCCGAAGGTTATAGTTCAGCTCTTAGTGTGGCTAAAGAATGTTGTCCCATGTGTATAAATAAGTCTCTCTTGTAATGTAGTGTGTGTGGCGAGAAGTTAAGTTTAGCTTTTAGTGTAACTATCAAGTACTGATCCATGTGTCCAGGTAAGTTTGACTCATAATGTGGTGTTGTGTCAAGAGGTTACAGTTCAGCTGTTAGGGAAGTAATCGAGTAGTGCGTGGGTGTCAAAGTAGGTTTATCTCGGAATATAGCTATACTAACAGCTGAACTATAATATCTAGACACACACAACATTCCGAGATAAACCTACTTTGACACCCATGCACTACTCGATTACTTCCCTAACAGCTGAACTGTAACCTCTTGACACAACACCACATTATGAGTCAAACTTACCTGGACACAAGGGGAAGTACTCTATAGCTATACTAACAGCTGAACTATAATATCTAGACACACACAACAGAGTACTTCCCCTTGTGTCCAGGTTAGTTTCTATAGTAATGTATTGTATGTCTGATGTAAAATTACGTACGTCACGAAATTTTTTCACTTAAGACTGTTGTTTCATAGGGTCAGATAATTATGTACTTTATTCATGAGCTTAGGATGCTAATTACCAATCCCATAGATATATTTTATTATGTGTTCCAGCATGTTTTCGTAATTAGGTTCATACTCTTTAAAGCAGAGTTTGTTATTAATTTCTGCATGCCTTGATAAGAGATAATACAGTAACAATACATGTTTTATGTTAACATTTTAACAGTGTAATATATTTGCAAACTAATAATTTTTACACCTAATCAAATGTGCCCGAATTAAAATAACATGTTTTAAAGTCCTTCGATGATTGTTTAAGATAATATCACTGACAGCACATAGCGTTAAATGTTGTGTAGAACTAGTTCATTGCTATCACTGTAGGAATAAAAATATTATGATTACATTTTATAAAGAATGATTGATTATATGCATATGCATTTAGAAGATAATCATCTTCTCAACAAGGACGTTTCTAAATCCCGAGGTTGCTATTTTCACGGAGACAAGAAGTTTCATTTAGCTGGCACCAGATGGCACCCCTACATCCCTCCCTTTGGTTTTTCGCGATGTGCTATATGCAAATGTGACGTAAGTGGTTGAGCAACTTTCTTTGATATATTTATATCTTTGTTTAAAGTAAATGTATAACTGCTGTGTATTCCACTTTGGAATATTCCATAGATTCCGTGTTCAACTTTCTAATCATGTAATGATATATTTTGTACTCACCAATCCGTTAACAATTGTTTAATTAACAGGCAAAATCGCAGAGAGTCATGTGCCGGAGAAAGAAATGCCCCGTTTTGCCATGTGCAGAAGACGACACCTATCGAGAACACCCACTAGACTGCTGTAAAAAGTGCAAGAGTAAGTTCGATATTTTTGTGTATGAAAAACAAATTGTTCTCTACAATCAGTGAATTCAGCTTCATCAGTTTCAGTAAGAAACAGCTCGAACATATAATTGTTCTTACTTATAATCTGAATAAGCGCCAAATTTTGATACAAACCGGTGTTTAAATTTTCCATTACATATAAAAGTCAATATTATCTGTAGAAGAAATTCACTCATTAAGAAAGATATTCAAATGAGTCTGAATACAGAATAATGAATAAAGATTCCCTGAAGTTCAACTCCAGCTAACGTTTTATCTACTACAAACAAAAAAAGAGATTCACGGAAAGTTTCGAGAGAAATGTTTTAAGAGTAAGAGAAAACTGTAACCAGTAGAGGTAAAGGGTTTATGTAGATATTAAGGTGGAGTTGTCCCATGTGTATACACACACACACACACACACACAC